GAGACACAACCACTTGTTCTCATTCACAATGTTGTATGTGGTCTTATGATAGTGCCTGCATCAAGAGGGTACAGATACATAGGGTATTTTTTACTAAGAATAAGGTGAAGCAATAGATGTTGAACACCAAATTACAGCTAGCTGAAACAATTAGGACCTTGCTGTTGTGAACAGAAAAGCGACTTCAGATAGGCAAATTACTTTTAGTAATTGTTGAATCGGCATAGTCACATTTACATAATAGGCAATGCTAAACTCGGTCAGTAGAGGTGTGTGATTGGATTGGATTCAGGTGTGAAAGAATGGGTCGCTCTCAGGAGCTCAGTGAATTCAAGTGAATTCAAGTGTGCTACCGTCATAGGTTGCCACTTGTGCAATAAGTCCATCTGGGAAATTTCCTTCCTACTAAATATTACACTGTCAACGGTTAGTGGTATTGTCAGGGATCCCGGGTCCTCGGCGGCGCGCGCATGCGCAGACCGCCGATCTGTCCCAGCCGGCGAGCGCAGAGTCCTCGGCGATCGCGGCGGCCGTGCATGCGCAGTAGCAATCGCGGCCGCACCAATGGGAGAGCAGGGCGCTCTATTTAAAGCTGCCCTGTGCATCTCCAAGTTGCCGCAAGGTCTTGTTCCTGTCCTGTAAGTACGCTCCCTTGTTGCCAAACTCTGCCTGTTCTGTTTATGCTGACCTTCTCCTGCTCTGACCCCGGCTCGTCCTGACCATCCCTCTGCCTGACCCTCTGTACCGCGCTGCCCGCTACCTGCTGAACCTGGCTTGTGACCCCGACCATTTTCCGCTTACTCCCCCTGTACCACGCTGCCCGCACAATACCGACCCGGCTAGTCTGACCTCGCCTACTCCTGATAGTTGCCCATCCATCCCGCTCGGATCGGGATCTGTCATCACATCCATCCCGCTCGGATCGGGATCTGTCCTCCCCTTCACAGCAGGCTCAACCCAGGCACATACCCTCAGCGGGACCCCTCTGCCGCCGCCGGGGGTGCCCAGGGACGCGACCTGGTTTCAGTCTTGCACCAAGTCCATCCCCACCATCAGGGGCCCTGGTGAAAAGGCAGACTGGGACTTAGACTCCGCGTCCTGGGAAACCCCGTGCTGTGGACCACTAGAGATCCCGTTGGGCGGAGCCTGACAGGTATTATAACAAAGTGGAAGTAAGTGGGAACAACAGAAACTCAGCCACATAGTGGTAGGCCATGTAAAATGACAGAGCAAGGTCAGCTCATGCTGACCTGCACAGTGTGCAGAAGTTCCCAACTGTCTGCAGAATCAATAGCTTTCAAACTTTGTGTGGTCTTCAGATTAGTACAACAGTGCATAGGGAGCGTTATGGAATGGGTTTCCATGGCTGAGTAGCTGCATCCAAGTCTTACTATGCCAAGTGCAATGCAAAGCGTCAGATGTAGTGGTGTAAAGTATGCCACCACTGGACTGTAGAGCAGTGGAGATGTGTTCTCTGGAGTGACGAATAACTCTTCTCTGTCTGGCAATCTGATGGACGTATCTTGGTTTGGTGGTTGCAAGGAGAACGGTACTTGCCTGACTGCATTGTGCTAAGTGTAAAGTTTGGTGGAGGGGGGATTATTGTGTGGGTTGTTTTTCAGGGGTTGGGTTTGGCCCCTTAGTTCCAGTGAAGGGAACTCTTAAGGCATCAACATACCATGACATTTAGGACAATTTCATGCTCCCAACTTTGTGGGAACAGTTTGGGGATGGCCCCTTCCTGTTCCAACATGACTGCGCACCAGTGCACAAAGCAAAGTCCATAAAGATATGGATGAGCGAGTTTGGGTGGAGGAACTTGACTGGCCTGCACAGAATCAACCCAATAGAACACCTTTAGGATGAATTAGAGTGGAGACTGCAAGCCAAGCCATGATGAAGAAAAAACATCTGACATCAGTGCATGACCACACAAATGCGCATCTGGATGAAAAACATGGCACCAAAAAAACATGGCACCAACACCCCCGCCCCCAGTTCCCACACACATACATTTCTGATTATGGTAAGCAGGAAGCAAAATTTCTGTCTACATCATTACGCAAACTATACCAAAGGTAGGAGTTGTAAGAGTAGAACTATTGACATTTGTTAGTAACAACAAGGGTCAGCAGATGCTCACAAACCATAAGCGCATGGTCAGGCTGGAAAAATACACACAAAATTTAAGCCATGCCCACAAAAACCCACTTTTGAGGGGCAAATGCACAACAATTACAACAAACACACAAAATATTCATCAAAACAGCCTTATTGAGGTGTTGGTCATTATGTACAATATCTAAGCCAAGGACTGACAGCAATAATCTGGCCTCTTCTCAGGCCAAGCAAACCCCACTAATGCAGTCCTTTGTATATAACATAGGTTGTATTGTTAGCACGCCAAACAACTACACATGTCCAATGAAGGACACGCCCACCAGTGTCACTCAGTCTGTCTCTTCTTGTATTCCTCAAGTGATTGTACCTCATTAGCAGGCACAAATACTCCTTCCAAATGTGTTAGCTCTTCACAGACTGAAGGCCAAAGATCTAAGCCCATTAGCATGCACAGAAAGAAAGCAACAGGTATCTAAGCATATGTACCTGTGCAGCGTACAACAGAAAATGTGAAATATCCAAGTCCCTGGACATGCTCAGTGTTGAAAAAAAATGCAAGTTGTAAGTCCTTGGACATGTGCAGGGTGCAGAGCAGGAAATCTCAATTGTCACCCAAATTGTTGACAAGCACATTCATCATCCAAAACACATGTCCAGTATTTCCCATCTATTCCAATGGCAGGGCAGTGTGTTCTTGTGCAGCACACCAAATTAGAACATGATGAATATGTTGTGCATGGACCTACACTGGAACAAGGCCAGGCACTTCCTAGACGCACTGAAATGCATGTTTGCCTGCAAATTTTGTGGGTTGTTTGCAGACGGCATCTGCTGGCAGCATAACAATCAGTGACTCACCCCTGCAGCAGTGATTCCCCAATGACAGCAGAATGAAAATGGAATAGCTAACATGTACCAAAACAGTATGGGCCCTTCAGTCTGTCATGGATTTGTAGGGGAACCCCATGGCCAATACATACAAAAGCATGGTTTCCCCCCAAAATCACTAACATGCCCTTATACAGTCCTGCAGGCCAGGAAGAGGGGAGGAAGAGGGGTGGAAGAGTGGGCTTCCCCCCCTCCACACACACTTTTTATTTGTAAAGCTCTTTTGTTTACATTATGTGAAACTCTTCTAAAGTGTTCTAGATTGATTGCAAAAAAACACATAAACATGCATTTTTATTAGTTTAGGTAGTTTTATAGCGCCGTCAATTTACACAGCTCTATACATATATATATTTTACATTTTCACATCAGGCTCTGCCTTCAAGGAGCTTACAATTTAACCACCTACCGCCCGCCATATAAGGAAATGACGGGTGCAAGGTGGTTCTCTCATTCTAGGAGGAGGTCATATGATGTCCTCCCACTCTAACTGCGCTTGTGCGGCACCGGGGTGCGCAGTGCGGCGATCGGTGGTGCGCTGTGTCCCTTGGACACGGGATCACCTATCAATGGAAAGAGTCAAAGATGTTGGCTCGATCATGTGATCAGCTGTGTCCAATCCCAGCTGATCACATGTAAATAGGGAAATGCCGGTTATCGGCATTTCTCTCCTCACGAGCTGTCATGCTGACAGCTTGTGAGGAGAGTCGGTAATCGGCATTCCACAGAGAGGACATGTACACTGATCATCAGGGCACTGATGATCAGTGTGCCCTGATGATCAGTGTAGCCACAGCAGTGCCACATCAATGCCACATATCAGTGCCTATCAGTGCACATCAATGCCACATATTAGTGCCCCTGAGCTGCCTTTCAGTGTCACCTATCAGTGCCAGTCAGTGCCACCTATCAATGCCAGTCAGTGCCACCTATTAGTGCTGCCAATCAGTGCCACCTATCAGGGCCAGTCAGTGCCACCTATCAGTGTGCTTAAGTGCTGCCTCTCAGTGCCCGTCAGTGCCACCTAACAGTGCCACTCAGTGCCGCCTATCAGTGCTAGTCAGTGCCACCTATCAGTGCTGCCTCTCAGTGCCCGTCAGTGCCACCTAACAATCAGTCAGTGCCACCTATCAGTGCCAGTCAGTGCCATCTATCAGTGCCACCTATCAGTGCCATATATGAGTGATGCCTTGCAGTGCCCATCAGTGATGCCTGTCAATACCCATCAGTGCAACCTATCAGTGCCCATCACTGCAGCCTCATTAGCGCACATCAGTGAGGGAGAAAAATCACTTATTTACAAAATTGTATAACAAAAACTAAGAAAAATCATTTTTTTTCACAATTTTCTGTTGATTTGGTTTGTATAGAAAAAAATAAACTCAGAGGTGATTAACCACTTGCCTACCAGGCACTTATACCCCCTTCCTTACCAGGCCAATTTTCAGCTTTCAGCGCTGCCGCACTTTGATTGACAATTGCGCGGTCATGCAACATTGTACCCATATGAAATTTTGATCATTTTTTTCTCACAAATAGAGCTTTCTTTTGGTGGTATTTAATCGCCACTGGGCGCTTTACTTTTTGCGCTATAAATTTAAAATATGCAAAAAATTTGAAAAAAAAAAAAAAGTTTATTTGTTTCTTTTATAAAATTTTTCAACTAGGTATTTTTTCTCCTTCACTGATTTGCGTTGATGAGGCAGCACTGATGGGCACTGATAGGCAGCACTAAAGGGCACTGATAGGCAGTACTAATGAGGTGGCACGGATAGGCGGCACTGATAGACAGCACTAATTAGGGGTCACGGATAGGCGGCACTGATATGCAGCACTGATAGGCAGCACTGATAGGTGACACTGATGATGGGTACTGATAGACGGCACTGATTGGCATCACTTCTGGGCACTGACTGGCGGCACTGGCTGGCACAACCCCTGGGCACTGACTGGTGGCACTGACTGGCAGCACTGGTGGGCAGCACAGGTGGGTGGGCACAGGTGGGTGGCACTGGTGGGCACAGGTGGGTGGCACTGGTGGGCACAGGTGGGTGGGCACAGGTGGGTGGCACTGCTGGGCACATGTAGGTGGCACTTCTGGGCACAGGTAGGTGGCACTGCAGAGTGGCACAGGTGGGTGCACTGCTGGGCACAGGTGGGGGCACTGCTGGGAACGGGTGGGCGGGGCTAGTGGGCGCACTGCTGGGCGGAACTTGCGCGGGGTGTCACTGCTGGGCACCGATCATCAGGGCACTGATCATCAGTGCCCTGATGATCGGTGCCGATCCCCGCTCTGACAACTGCCGGTTCTCGGCAGTACTTTCCTCACGATCTGACAGCGTGAGGAAAGTGCAGCCGAGAACCGGCACTTGCATTTCCCTGTGATCAGCGTGTCATTGGACACCGCTGATCACGTGGTAAAAGGCCGGTGGGATCGGCCTTTCACCACATCACGTGATCAGCTGTGTCCGTAGGACACAGCGATCACGGAGATCGCCGGGTGTGCGCGCCCCCTGGGGCGCGCAGGAGAGTGCGTTCTGGGAAGACGTCATATGACGTCCACTCAGAACTGGCCGGCCGCGGTGAAGCCGTCATTCGGCTATGCGCGGTCGGCAAGAGGTTAAATACCACCAAAAGAAAGCTCTATCTGTTTAAAAAAATGAGAAAAAATTCATATGGGTACAGTGTTGCATGACCGCACAATTGTCATTCAACGTGTGACAGCACTGAAAGCTGAAAATTGGCCTGGGCAGGAAGGGGATATAAGTGCCCTATAGGCAAGTGGTTAAAGTCCCTAACTCACATTCATGTACTAGGGACAATTTAGACAGGAGCCAAAACAACCACCAGCATGTCTTTGAAGTGTGGGAAGAAACCCATGCAGGCGCAACATGCAAACTCCATGCAGGTAGTGTCATGGTTGGGATTTGAACTGGCAACCCTAGTGCTGCTAGGCAGAAGTGCTAACCACTAAGCCACTGTGCTGTCACATTCATTCAAACTGCATCTCTGTGGTGTGAACCAGCCCTAAGTCCCTGGGCATGCTCAGTGTAACAAGCAAATATATCTCAAATAGAATACAAATGTGTGGTGCTGTGTTATTAAATCAGATGTGTGTTGGCTTTATATAACCCATTAAAAAGAATCATACCCCCCCTCCCCCCCCAAAAAAAATCAAAGGGTGACATCACTATTCCAAAGTGACACACACAAGAAAAAAAACCCCATAAAGCTGGGATTCACTGTTTTGACCTCCACTCTGCCATGTACATTAAACCATTTGATTTATCCTTGTACTTATGTGAGTAGATGTACGATATTTATTACACAAAATCTGCGGCTTTCACTATGGAATGTATGGAATGCTTGCTTATCCCTTACATGGCTTAATGTACATGGGGGAGTGGAGATGCAAACAGTGAATCCCTGCTGATGTACCCCGGAGTTCCCGAGTGCCATTGAACAGCCTGTTGCTGTGATATGCCATATGGTTCCAAGGCTGGTGATGAATGATTACTGACAAGATGCTGCTATAAGACCACCTATAATTTTGTGTCTTATCACTTGGTAAGAGGCTGCAATTCGTGTTGGTGTGGAATTCACAAGGCTGCTTATTGTCATTCACAAGTGAAAACATATAGCAAGATTTTCAATGGTGGTGGAACCCTCCTACGCATACCTACATATTTTATTTGGACATTTACAGTACATATAAGGTGGTGGACGTCCATAGGATCTATGTTTACTGATTTATGAACCTATATTTTTTCTTTATTGATGTATCACTATGGAATAGTGGGGTCACTCTCTGAATTTTGTTTCATCATTTTTATGTGTATTTATGATGTTGGGGCACATAAAATTTTTTGGAATAATATTATGATCCTTTGTATTGGGATACATATAACCAACACACATTGACTTTAGCAACACAGTGCAATGTTTGTATTCCTTATAATTTTTTGTTACAGCAGGGATCAAAATTTCAAGTCCTGAGCTACTAGCCAGGCTTAAGAGATACTCGCCACCAGTTGTCCCACCCCTAATTCTGCCCCTAAACACACCCTCAGAAATAATCTCAGAAATGACACTGTTAAATGTTTTATGCAGAAGTTACAAAAATAAAAATATTAAATAAACACTTATCAGGTGTCCTATCAGAGTCCCCCTTTACATCAGGTGTCTCCATCACAGTCCTCCTTACATCAGGTATCCCCATCAGAGTCCCCCTTTATATTAGGTGCCTCCATCACAGTCCCCCTTATATCAGCTGTCCCCACATGGGACCAACTACTACCACACAAACTAAACTCTTTTAGCAACACTCATGAAAGCTATTGCTGTAGGACAAAATGGGGAGGGAGGGAGGGAGGGAGGGAGGAAGGAAGGAAGGAAGGAAGGGGGGGGGGGGGGGCTGGATGAAGAAAGAAAGGAAGGGAGGGAGGGAAGGGTGTAAGAGAGGGAGAGAGGGAGGGAGGGAAGGGTGTAAGA